TCTGTACCGTCTCCAACGTCGGGAAGGCCTACCAACACAACCTGTCCTGCCTGTTTTTATCCAACTTGTCGCTCTCTGCGACTGTGCGATTCAATCCACCGAGATGACCCGCTTCGGCGACTTTAAGCCTCTTTGCACAAACACTCCCTCTTACCCTTTGTGCAACCTCTTTTATCGCCAGGTTCCTTCTCTCCTTCTTTCCTCGTCGTTGATCCACCCCATTCACCCATAAACCAGCTTCAGCATAGTGCACCCACTGTTCTTCTCAACGTGTCTGCCAACGCAACATCCGCCCCCATAGGAGTAAACCCAAAATGTGGCATCGCGCGCGTTGGCTCTGAAAACTCCATCGGCAACATCGCCAATATCCTCGCGTGCGGCCTCAGTATCCTTGTCACCGTCTGGCTCATCTATCGCTGTAACTACCGAAAGGCCGCCGTCGGTAAGTCTAGTCGTCTAGTCGGCTCCCTTGAAGGCTTCTAACATAACACCAGGTCGTATTGAGTTTCGTGCATTTCTCGCCGTTTACCTTGTCACCCTGCCTCTTCAACTCATCGCCACAGGCTCTTTTCTCGAGCAAGGAACTACCACCCTTGTCGCCTTCACAGCCATTCACGCAGGTGCTGTCACGGCCCTCTTCTGGATGCTCCTGGGTAACGCTCTTGTGGCAACTCAAGTCGTTGAGGATGGTCAACCATCCTCGTTGATTGTTCGCCTTATTCCCTATTTGTGCCCTTGTTTCATTCCTGCTGACTGGCACGTGGTTAGCCATTTTACGTTCTAACCGCATTTTTCCTGGCCGCCACTACCTACATCTCCCTCGACGTCGCTCTGACTTTCACGAGTACCTTTGAGCCGGGCGACCCGAAGGATTCCTTGCACTCAATCTCCCTCTTCATTCTCACCTTGATATGGCCAGGCGTGTGCGTTTCGCTTTCCTTGCATTCCTGTCCTACCTATTCGTGCCTGACGTTGTTTCCCGTCGGCAGCGCAGCATTGCTTTACTTTATTCTTATGGTGTGGATTGTGGTTGGCGTTCTTCATGAGATGCGCCCGATACTTTATTATGCCCTGGCTGGTATCCTTTTTATCTTTGCCCAACTCGCATACTTCCTCCTTTCCCGCACTATTTGCGATGGCACGAGTGCCAAGATTGATGGCTCATTCATCGCGACGGCTCTGGAAACTGCAACAATTGTTGTGCTCTACTTCGCTTGGCAGAGAATCACGGAGGGTTCGTGTTTCTCCCATCGATTTTTGGCCTGATGTGCTCATCATCGATGGCTCCCGGACAGACCACTGGCCTGATGACAATTTGTACTTTCCGCAATGAGTGTTGCGTATACTCCCCTCGAAATGATTCAGCCTTATGTCCGCTATTGGTAATGTTATGGTCGATTTTTTCATCTACATCCTCCGTATCACGGAGAACAGTGAAGCTTTGGGCTCTTGACCGTTGAAAAACGCTTTGTGGGTGAGCCTCGGCAGGTGTGATAGGAAAGCTACTACATTTCTAGCTCGTTTCTTATACACCATTAATCCGACAACACGAAGGTAATGTGGGGGAAAGCGTAAAATGGGAGGAAGAAAATGCTTATATGTGACCAAAAGAATGGGAGAGGAAAGAGTGTTATCAGTGGATTCCCAGCGCCAGAGACAAAAATAATCAACCTCATTCGCAACCTACCAATCGCACTCACGCAATGGCCGTTGGGTTATGGTGTGCACCACCTCAACACAGATCCACGACTCACCGTCGTCCCGCGATCCAAGCCTCCCGAGCTTGGCGAACATACTAGCAGCCTTCGATGCCCGCCGCTGCGGGGTTCCTGTGATTGTCGCCTGGGACGTCCGAGCGCGGAGAAGTCGCCAGGGGTGCAGGAGGGCCTGTGCAGGTGACGTTGGCGACGATGTCTGCATTTGAGTACGTGCCTGACGACGAGGGGGGTGGGTACGGGCTGGATAAGCATAGGCTAGCACGTTCGCGGACCAGATGGAGTCGCACTCGTGCCCCGGCACGTCGATGTACTCGGATGTTGACGTCGTCGTCACAGAAAACGCGGAGCACTTCCGTTACCCAATGATGGTAAGAGAGTGAGGACTAAAATAGAAGAAAATGATGAAAGGGGCAACTCGCACCTCGTTCGGATCCTCAATTTCAGGTGGGGTGAAGAAAAACGAGTCATCATCGTCGCCATCTTTGCATGCAGGCCCGTCACAGCTCGCACTAATGCACCCAGGTCCTGACACCGACGGCCAATACACGCGTCCTCCCTCATTCCCACTTGCATCCCAGGGCTCACGCGGATCCTCCTGAGCAATGCGTCCGAGCCATGACCATGCAAAAACGCTGTCTCGGTCGGGCGGTGGCGGCGGGCGCATAGGAAGCGGCTTCTCGCAGAAGCATCCTGCGTCGATACTTCCCGACTCTGCCCCAACACAGAAGAGGCCGTCAAACGTCGACGATGCGCGCGCTGGGATAATGTTGTTCCCAGCAGCGGCAGCGGAGCGAAAGTAGGCGTCGAGGAGACTCTGCATGTCCGCGAGTGTGCTTGGCGCGGGCGTACACGGCATTGGCCCGTAGGTGGTCGGCGTGACGGGAGTATCAAGTGCTGGTGTTTGGGGGGTGGGCGGAGTGGGCGGCTCTGAGGGCAGCAGTGATGCGCCGGAGAAGGTAAGTAGGCCCTCCGCGGGGTCATACATGGCGACAAATGTGAGTGCCGTCTGCGGAGGCACGAGCTCTGACCAACGGTGCTGTCGCTGCTTGCTGAGAGGTACGCTGGTTCTAGAGTCGCGATCGCTTGACTCAGAGGCGTACGTTGCTGAGCCCGTTTTGATGATTAGCGCTGGGGTTGTCTTTTGGTGGGAGGATGAGCGAGTCGGCACGAAAAATGGGTTCGGGAAGACCTGCCGATGTGGCTTTGGGTCGAATGCCTGGGTGAGTATACGCGCGACGTGGTGGCATGATTCGTTGGTGGTGCCACGGAGAAAACTTGTAGATGGTAATGGACCAAGAAACCTGAGAATAGAGAGGAGTGTTGGGATGGGGCTCTGCAGGGCTGAGAGTCAAGAAGAACCGTGAAGGAATGGAGGGGGAGAAGATATACGCCGCAGTTAACTGCCTGGTGCCGCACGGGAGGTGAGGTCGGCATCCTCGACACAGAGGAAATTGCCTTATAGGCACGCGTGAGGCGAAACCTTGTCAGATGTCACGGCTTCTTCATAGAGGCCTCGTGGCTCGAGAGCCCCCATTTCTCGAGAGAAATTGTGGATGATGGGAAAGCTGATGCCTGTTAAGAGGTTCCTCACAGCTGAAGCGTGCCATGGTAAATTACGGTTCGGCTCCTTGAGTGGCTGATAGTTACCTATTTATTCGTTATTTCATAGCATATTGTCGGACACGGACACTCTTCATTACCCGAATAGATAGAAGGAGTGCAGACAGGAAACAGAAACGTGTGGACCCCCAGCAGACGATCGCACGATCCATGACCTGGCAGGATACACCGTTTTAGCACTTGACGCACGTTGCAATGACGGAATGGGAGGTTGGTTTCAAGGTTAACTTGGGAATATGCTAGAAAAATCATAATTAGCGCAAGTGTGCAGTACACAGCGGTCGCTAGTGGTGGATGATAGTGAGGGGCCAAAAGGGCGTGTGAGAAATTGGCTGGCAACACAGCGCCAGCCAACACTCGCACGGTCGTCGCCAGCTTTGATCTGTTGCTAGTCGGGCCACAAACCGCCTGGTCAAGGTAAATTACAACACGCAAATCAAATTCGAGCACTTTGATGGTACATCATGGCACGCGCATTGCGTATCGAACATTTCTCCACAACTCTGTTGAGCAGCAGTGGAACGTACCTATACATACACGTATGATACACCTAACATTCGTTCGCCTTGGTATCTGTCACATCGGTTACTCCCACTGATGAGAATATTCCAGAACTATCGTGTCAAACATCACAGGTTGTGAAGGATGATAAGTATTCCCAATGGCAGGACAGATGGTCAGGGGGTTCGGGGTGACACGGAAATTAAGTCCCGAAGTCGAGAGAGGACAGAGTGAAGTTCCGATAAGTGTTGAGATGTGTGGATCCGAGAAACTGTGTTATATACATTGTGATGTTCTCGCGAGTGGCATGCGGAGATGAAACAAGGAAACGTCCGTCAGTCGTCCGTCCTGCAGAGGTCAGTCCCTGGTTGACTCACGAGACCTACCATAGAATGAAAGCATGTCCTCGAAACATACATATACACGGCCAAGGGCTCTTTTCCCACGTGCGAAGTCGATAGTTGTAGGGTGTATGTGACGAGTTCGGAATCAACGGGCTGACGGGACAACAAGACATGAGTGCTGGTGATTGACCCGCACCCAGATGGCTTCGCGTGCGACCTTGGCATTGCAAGGCAGCAGGGAGTTGTGCTGCACGTGGCACACCTCAAGTACACCGTGACCATGCGACGAGCTGTGTATCGATACCAACATACCATTCCTCTTTGACCTGTGCCACGATGCGCCGCAGTGAACATCACCTGCCCATTGCTAGTGCCAGTGATCAGTTATGTCTGAATGCTCCTCATCTTTGGAGAGACGAAAGGAAGTTCAACTTTCATCTCCAATCCTGAGTGGGGCAATTAGTTCTGCTGCAAGGTAGCTCAGGTTGTCATTCTACGTTAGAGGAGTGCGTGCATACCTTTGACACGTACAGCAGTCAGTCAACTCACTCTCTGCTCGGGCGGTCTGGTCTCGACGTCCTACAGTGACTCACTGGTGAATTAGCACGTAAATCAGGATTGACATGCGGAAAGTCGCTCATACGGACAGCGTGACACCTGGTCTGCACTGTGCCTGCAGGAAACCCGTGCCTCAAAAGAAGTCTATCAAAACGAAGGTGATAGGAGATGGATTGCGTTGCACTGGTGCTATAAAAAAAAATCCAGATGAGATTGATGCTTCGGCTCGATAAGTGATGCAATAATAATAAAAATAATCTGACCCCGACCCGGATTGAACGGATGACCTTGAGGAAACGACAAGCTGGAATCTCACGCTCTACCACTGAGCTACGGGGTCCATAAGTGGAAACTTTGTGCGGTAACAAATAGTTCGGCACCAATACCTACCAAAGGCCAACGCCTTCTGCTTGCCAGTGACTTTGCCCTTCTTGCCATTCAGCTCACCGCAACGCGATGAGTGAAAATTCGGGGTTATCTCGGCGGAGGGTCAACACTGGTCCAGCATCATCCTCAGAACCATCGCCATCCTTATTTGCCTCACATGCTGGGTCTGCTTTTGCCGGAGGTAACAAAATCGCCTTCGACCCGCGCGACCTCGAACGGGATGAAGAAGAGTCAAAGACAGGTGGGAAGATACCTCATCTTACGCTCATGGAGGAGGTCTTGCTTCTTGGTTTAAAAGACCATCAGGCAAGTTTATCTATATCGAACCAATCCCTCCATTAACGTGAGCGCAGGGTTACTTATCATTCTGGAATGACAACATCTCTTACGCATTACGTGGTTGCATACTCATCGAACTCGCGCTCCGGCGACGCATTGCTGTTCACAAAGATCCAAATCGTCGTAGACTTCCACTCGCGGAACGACTGGTCGAGGTCACCGATGATCGCCAGACAGGCGAGACAATCCTCGACGAGACTCTCCGCATGATGAAGGCTCAAGAGTCTGAGCGTATGTCGATTAATGCATGGGTTGATCTTCTATCTGGCACGTCCCCTCACCCTCAGTACTGCTAAACACCTTACATTCTATGGTTTTATATTAACAGGGGAGACGTGGAACGTACTCAAAATTGGCTACCAGCTAAAACAAGTCCGTGAGCGTCTTGCCAAGGGGCTTGTGGACAAGGGTGTCCTTCGCACGGAGAAGCGCAACTTCCTTCTCTTCGATATGGCTACGCACCCAGTCGCCGATCTCCGCGTCAAGGACGCTGTCGTCTCACGCATCGTTGCTCTGCTCACCGCCGGCACATCAGCCGTTCCACCAGCTGCATTTGAGGCGCCCGGAACACAGATGCGGGCACTGCGGAGTGTTTGCCTCGCATGCTCCGCCTACGCTGCGAGTGTCCTCGACAATGCATTTGCAAGGCTCGGGTACGAGGAGCGCGAGACGGCATTTGCGCGGTGCGATGATATTCTTGCCGAGTTTGCCGCCTGGCCGTTTGGTTCCGGTTCTTTGGGCAGCACAGGATCCAAAAAGAGGGAGGGCCCGCGCATCGCAATGGGCAGCTCTAGCACCAACGGCCGCGAGGCGGTGCTTGGTCTGCTTGCAGAGGTGCGCAAGGAATTGGTTGAGGGAGACGATGACGCTGGATGCGAGCTCGTTGCTGGCGTTTTGGAGGTCTTAAGCAAGCTAGACTCCCTCCTGTAACGTGCCTCTAGCTGATGTATGTCCCCTTCGATTGTCTTTGTTCAATGTCCATTAATTCCACTTCATGAAAGGCCACAATGGTATCCCTTTGAGAAGCAGCGCTAGCCTCGCGTTGATTCGAACTTCTATCATACACAGCGATGAGATCAAGATACTGAATTCGGTATACAACACTTTGCTTGGGATAAAATCATTCGAGCACTTACGACCGAAATTTTGTGTATGGCTTAGAAACACTGTTTGTTTCGACCGATATGAAATATTACGGAGATTAATCGCGATTCCGATTTCTAGGCACAACAACGCCGCATTCAGATGGTGATAGTTAGGCATGACGTTCTAATGTTAATAGGCGTATGCGTGACTGTCGTGGGGAACTGCTTAGGCCCCATTTGGCAATGATGTTTTGACAGAATTTGAACTGTGGAGTTTTCTGGAGTCACTTGAGTGACAGGAGTAGTCTTTGGAATTTTGCACCTTGTGACATTCAAATCTGGACTATCAGACTTTGTCAGTAGAGCAGTGTTTGAACATCTTTACATACAATTCCAAAAATTGATATAATTATTTTATGATAAGGATTTACTTGTTAACAAAATTGTGGTGGTTGAAATTGTGGCAGAATGAATGGGATGAACAGAGGGAGTCTTTGACTTTTTGTGGTGGGTTGAATTACCATAAAAGGCAATTGTGTTGGCAAGAGAATTTGGACTTCAATCATGCATTAACAGATGTAATTTAGTTAAATAAGTGAGTTAATAATAAGATAACTCCTTACCTTTTTCCCCTACCAAAAAAAAAAGAAATGCAATCTTGTTTCCAATTGATTGAAGTGCCATCCACATCATCTGCCCATTCCAGCCTGAGTGCCCCTTTTGCAACACAATGTTTTCGGATCACTGCCAATTCTGGAAAGAGGGGAGGACTCAACTATGACTGGGAGCACAGTGAATACTCAAGGAATGGCTGACAGCAGCTGATTTTGACTCATGGCACCAGCAAGAAGAACTTGCTCACTCAATTAAATTGATTACATCCAGCACTGAGCATGGGCAGGGATGGACAAGGAAGGTTTTTGCCTGTTCCTGCCAACTATCTGGGGGAGCTTTGAGTTATGTAAAGAAGCACCCCAATTGCACACAGAGATCTGAGTTCAAGAAGATGGGTTGCCATTGCTGAATAGTCATCAAATCTTATGCTACCATTCTCAGACAATATGCAAGCAAGCATGACCATGAAATTGGAATTGCTAATCTCACTTACACACAAATGTCATGCATAGCACATGATAAAATTAAATTCATGCTGTCAAGGAAGGTTGATGTTGTGAACCAAGGCCAAATCCTGGCCATGGATCATCCTATTTCACTCAAAGAAGCTTCTCTCACTTTATATTGCCTATCCACCTCTATTTCCAATGACTGCTCCTCTCTGCAGGCATAAATCCTCACCCTCCAAGTCCCTGTGGCTTGCTTGGACACCCTCCTCCCTATTTGGGTAACCCACCATGTGCCAGCCACATGGCCACTCAGCCACTAGGTCCTGAAACACTGGAAGGACTCTTAGACCTCCTAGAATGATCTGCATGATGTCATAAAGTGCCAGTGACATCATGGCTGACTGAGCAACTCCACTATGACCTCATATGCTCACTAAGCACTTCATAAGTGATATTATTATGATATTATTGCTCAACAGTCTTGCTAATTGTCCTGAGTCACCTACAGGTCTGACACAACAAGTTTATGCCCCTTGAATCCAATTGGAGCAGTCTAAAGAGTCTGAGTTATTTTCTGTAGTTCATACTCAGACTTGTAGCTAGTATATAAGCTCCTATCAAGACACATACTGCTGATCACTAAGGACTGAGGAGCAGGTGGGCAAGGGTCAGAACAGACGGTATGTGGTGTAGGTGGTGTTGAACAAGAGGACAAGCCAAACAATGAGGAGGTACCAAATGGGGACTGGTACATGTTGCAAGAGGCAAAGGCAAAGACTAGAGGCCAGTGTGGTGAAGGGGCTTTAAACAAGGCAGTCTTGAAGGAGTACCTTGGGAACAAGGGGTGTTATGATTTACCCTCCTTTTGGTCCCTTCCTAATTCCCTTGTTGTCTTATTGTTCTCTTCTGTCACCCTCATCCCTTTGGTTGCCATTTCATCCCTTGATGTTGATTGACAGCTGTTGCTTCACCTTCTTGTGTTTCACCTGTTGTTGATCCCTTTTTGCCATTGGCTCACCTTTTATCTATTGTTCCACATATAGTACTGTACAGCCTCGCTACATACAGTATTTAAGCGCCTGTAGAAGCTGGGTAATGCCCCAAGCTTAGCTTTGTCTCATTTCCTGTCACATCCCTTGCCCTGTACTCTCCTCTCAAATCACAACTTGCTTGTGCTGGCTTATACCTTGCTTGACATCAACACACTAGGAGGAACCCTTGTGTTCCTCTTGCTCCTCTCTTGCTCTATCATTGTCCTCCCCTTCTGTGAAATTACCAGAAGATCGACTCTGTCTATGGATTAGGTCATCTTGACTTAATCTTGAGATGCTAAACCCTTGATCCGGTCTCTTTGAGCTGGCCCCACTGAACCCTTGAACCAAGTCACAGGGACTTGGCCCCACTGAACCCTGAGCTAATGCTCTAGTGGCCATGATGCTGTAACACAAGCTAAGCTTCCCTTACTCCACTCTGGAGTTCAACCTTGAACTACCACCAAACTGCTGGATCCATATTCAACCTAGACCCTCCCCAGACCTCCCCCAACACATTGTTGGAACTGCCACTTGGGACAGCTTCCACACCTTCCTCTGCTATGTTACCACTGAAAATGACAAGGAACTACCGGTTGAATTTATCAAAAACCACTGGTTTGAGCTACAACTCAGAAGAGGACAGCTCTACACTCATCAGGACCTAGAACTCATCAGGAACAGCCTTGGGTTAGGTTATTGGAGGAAGGACGACCCTCTTTAAGAAACATCATCAGAATCAGAAGGCAACTCTCCTGAACCTCCTGAATTAGAACCACAGAATCCCCCAGAACCCCAGACACCCTTTGAATCTCCTGAACTAGAAACAGATAATCTTCCTGAAAATCAGGAACTAATTGAAACCACAGAACCTAAACCACAGAACCCAAACCACAGAACCCCCCTGAACCTACCATGGCAGCCCAACCCCAAGTTGTTGCACAAGCTCCCCAGATTGCCACCCAGGCCCCCCCAGTTGCTGCTCAGGCCCCTCCAATCGCCCTGGTCCCAGCACTACAGGGAGCCAATGGCTCTCTTTGTCACCAACCGGGGGCGGTGTTGCTGACAAATCAGTTCACATGCGAGATGAACGTAGAGAGTCGAGCGAGGCACTAAGTCCTTCGTGAGTTTCAGGGATCTTGGAGACGACAATGCCAAAGTACTTATGTTCCATGGAGAGGGAAGAGAGATGATAAGTCTTCGCATTTGAAGACTTAGAGGATTGAGATACTTTTAGAGATGATTGCTTGAGTACTTGCAAGCCTACAAGATCCAAAGCGAGTATCCAGTGTATTTCACAGGAGAACAAGCTTGAGGCTTGTTCTCATCAAATGGCAGTCTTATATACATACAGAATACTATATCATATAGTACTCACAAGGTAACAGTGAGGCAATCGTACTGGAACATGCGGGAAATGTCTGGTACATGCGA